ACCATGTGTTGTGCTGAACCGAGCCATCAGGCTACATGTTTTTATTGTCCCTAACAACGTGTCCTCTGGATGAGGACAGCACCGCTCTGTCTGTCAGCATGACGCGGACCAATCACGGGGCTGAGAGCAGGCTTTATAAACACAGCTGACGTCAGACGTCAACACAGTCCGATCGGTCATCTGCTGCACAAACCAAAGCAAAGCGCCTCCATGCAGGGATGGAAGTGGGAGGCATCTTCACTAGCGCGCCGACCGACTCCATCCCTGGCCCCCAGCAGCGCAGAGAAACCCCCCACCCTCCCGGGAACATGTCGGCCGGACGCTGCGACGGCTCCTCYAAAGTCCTGCTGACTTACAAACACGCGTCGCAGCTCCTGAGCTGCTCCGGGATCAAAGCGGGTTTGGGGATCCTCGCGTCTCAGTGGAAACAGGAGAAGAAGACGCGCTCAGGCGCAGCCGCCATGCAGCTGCCCTCTGCCAGCAGCACGCACCCGTGCAAGAGATCCCCGCTGGATCAGCTGGCAGCTGTGGTCCTCGGYCAAACGAGGACGTGCAAACTTGGTCAGCAATCACTTCACTCCACCAAACCGCAGAACTGTAAACGACTCGTGGTTCTGGGTGCGCCGCGGGTTGGAAAGACCTCCATCCTGAGGAGGTACCTCCGGGACGGGTTTGTGGAGGAGTACAACCCGACTTCAGAAGATTTCCTCAGAAAACTGTTCCACATCCGCGGGGAGACCTACCAGATAGACATCCTGGATGCGTCCAGAGAGAGAGACTTCCCAGCCAAGCGGCGTCTGTCCATTCTTACTGGTGCGTAAAATCTCAGTCTTAAAGCGTAATAATCAAAGTTTATTCTTAAAATATATAACTTTATCAAATAAAAATGGCGGTGGAAGTCATTAACTGCGTGCGTAATTGTCTATAAACAGTGTTTAAAATGTGTTTCTCTTCTTTCCACAGGAGATATCTTCCTCCTCGTGTTCAGCCTGGATGACAGGAGCTCCTTCGTGGAGGTGTGCAGCCTGAGAGCCGAGATACTGGCCGCTAAGTCCAAGCTCACCARGTCCCCGGTGCCAGAGCAGCGCGGGCAGCAGCGGGTTCCGCTCGTGGTGTGCGCCAACAAGGCGGAYCTCCTGGAGCCCGAGAGACAGATCACCAGAGCCGAGGTGCTCCGAGCGCTCGGCGACGACTGCGCCTTTTTCGAGACGTCCGCAAAGGACAGCACCAACCTGGAGAAAGTCTTTGAGGCKTTGGCGAAGCGGGGGGGTCTTCCGACGGAGACGGGCCCGGACCAGCACCGCAAGGTGTCCCTGCGCTCGTACCAGGCCATGCGGACAGAGCGCGCGGCGTGGACGGGGAGGCGGGTGGCGGGGCGAGACGATCCCTGCGGGACTCTGTACCCACAGGCGCGCCGGCCAAGCTTCACCACGGACCTGAGACAAGTCACTGAGCCTGGTGCTGCAAGGARGGCCGGGAAAGGACTGGAGAAATGTTACATCCAGTGAGGCGCAAAAAGGACTTGAAACAATAAAACAACACTTGAACACTTGTTTAATAAATGCTTTAATGTTTAAAATTATACTCAAACTGATATTTTCAATAAAAAATTTTTGATATAAAATTATCTTTGTGTTTCCTGATTAAATCAATCTACTTACCTGTGTGTGTGT